AAACTTTAATACAACAGCAAATGTACAACGTTTCGACAAGGTTTTGTCATCATCAGGGGTGACATTCAATCATTTAGCATGGGTAGCGATTGGCAGGGTCCTGCCGACTGCCTGCTTTCTCTCAGGTCATAGCTCAAAATTAGAGACGATGGCAGACAGCCTTAGTAGCTTTGACTTCAATATATAAAATGTAAATACAAATTCATCTTTGTAATATTTTTGATAATCTAGTAATAAAGGTGTCTCCTCTAGGTACTACAATAAACGAATGTGCATGGATTATATAAACATGTCATTTGCTCAGTATTTCCAGTCTATTTTAGCGCCAAAATCGATTTCATTTATGACATCAAATCTTCATCAATTATGCCTACTTACCACATCTGAGGCTTTCACCATGACCAAAGCTACTTACAAATACATTAATTATGTGGATCAGAAACTGCTTACAATCTTATTCTCTTGTGGTCACTAGTATCCAGGAGGTTTGCACTTACTGACTTCATTTGAAGGTGAAAGGTTGCTTGGATTGTTTTACCACATCTTAATCTATTGTGAATGGTAGCATCTGAGAATTTTTTATTTTTTTATCTTAGAGATCAGAGGTTGCTTGTATTGTTAAACTAAATTTTAGTTTATTGCTAATATCAATCATCTGGGAGCCGAGAACCCCTTGATCTCATTTAGAGGTTGCTTAGATTATTCTATCTCTTCTTCATTTATTGTCCATAGAAACATCTAAGAGTTTGCAGCCTTTAACGTTCCTGAAAGTTAAAGGCTCCTTGGATTATTTTATTATGTCCTAATTTATTGATTCTGCACTTCTTGACATCTCGTGTTTGGAATATTTGCTAAAGCTAAATCGGATGAGCAATAACCTGAGTTGTACAACTATATCTTAAAAATAAACAAGTAGCAAATATAGTCCAAAACCGAGATGAAAAACTAAAAAAAGGTAAGAAAACTATTTGTAGGTAAGTTGATAGAACTATTTAGTGTTTATACTTATTTCACACAATATATTGCAACCAAAACATTGGGTTAGTACCATTTTTGTCCTCACTACACAAATCTCAAGTATTTTATGGCACTGAACACTATTTGTTCTTCTAGTAACAAAGTAATATTTATTAAAAGCTATTTCTTTATAATCTAGGGAACAGTTGTAAACCTCTTCGGAATAGAACAGTTAGCATTAATGGCCCTAATGGTGAGTATGACTTTCTGAAATTGGACTTTATGTAAACAAAATGTCGAATTTTGTTCACAAAATAATAGTAAACTTATTTAAGATACATATGTACATATCATAAAGCTAGACGTTTAAAATGTAAAGTTTCCTAGACAGGGTCGCAGTTCCCTGAACTAACCACAAGTTTTATGTGACATTAACTATGAGCAAAAAAAAAACAACAAACAGACAAACTAGAGTCAGTGAACATAGATAGCATAGTACGTTACATTGGAGATAAATGTTTTACAGTGATTTTTTCCACTTATTATATGTTTGTTTGTAATTCAGCACAAAGCTACACAATGGGCTATTTGTGCTCTGCCCACCACGGGTATCGAAACCCGGATTCTAGCGTTGTAAGTCCGCAGACATGCCGCTGTGTCACTGTGGGCCTTATTATATGTTGACCTATTGAAAATTTTCCGGGAAATACATTTTCATGATGGGCATATCTCTATCTTAAAAGGTGCCTTGGGATGAAAAACTTACACAATAATCAAACTAAAAACTTATAACATAGATCACGTGCATACGCACGCTCATAAATCTTACAAAACTCCAAAACTAGATTCTTTACGTTTTGCTTGCTTTTTTTTTGTTTTTGAAAACTATATAACAATTTCACTTGAAATGTCGTGTCGCTTAGAAGTAAAGAAGTAATAATTCGTGTAACTTTTTTTCTTACTTCTTAACTCACATAAAGTTATTTTCTTCTATCTTAATAAAACCAAATTGTTCTTCTTTTTAAAATTCTTATTTCATTACATTATTATTCTGTGAACATTTTCGCCTTTCAAAATATATAATTTTTGCCTAAAGTAAAAGTTCACGGTACTCTTTATATTGACATTCTGTTTGCACCACAGGAGCTTCATGCGTCCCTGTGATTGAAGAGTGCCAATGTGCGCAGCCTTGCTACAGAATGGAGTTTCTAGAGTTATATTACGAACACGTATGGAATGACACAAGAAATATGACCGAAGAAGGAGTAAAGGTAGGCTATAGTAAACCATTGTATGATATTAAGAAAAATCCTGTCTAGAAGATTTGCTACTACATTGTCACTTGCCATTTCTCAGGTTCAATGTTTATTACAGTCAGTCAGGGCTAGAAACAATTCGTGTATTTTAATATATTGCGGAAATTACTTTTGTTTACAAAACAAATGTACATATTTGGACAGAAGTTTAGAAAACGAACAGTGAAAATGTATTGGTATTGCCCTGTTATTTGCACGAACTTTTGATGAATACTAAGCTAATTACATGAAGATTTTTTATTTAGTGTGCTTTCTTGTATATTAGATCCATAATGATAACCAAAATGGTCAATTTTGACAGTCGTGCATTTCAGAATTTATTTCTATTTTATAAACCGAAACTTACATTCTTGCAACTTTCTCTGTGAAAATATCACATGATTATGATATTTCACCTGAAGTTAGGCTACACGTGCACCCTGAAAGCAACATTTCTGTAAATCCCGTAAAATTACTTAAAAATTTCCCTGAACGACACATCAGATATTCAGGAGAAATTCACGTCATCTGATTTTAAAAGAATTATGTTATCAATATGTAAACTTCTGAATTTGTTATGCAGAAGAATATTTAGTTTTCTCATTCACATTTGCAAGAGTTACGCAAAAACAATTAACTCAAGTACACTGTCGTAAATACCATTAATTTCAATACATTGTAAGTATGACATTTTATTAGCCTTAACGTTGAAATGTTTTGGCTGACAGATATGGCGATAATAGGACCGACAAACGCGCGAGATGAGCCTTGCTATTCGAAGTTCGATCAGTTAAGCCGTTGGAATAAATTGGTCGATAACATCATCGAATACACCTTTATTGATGATAGAAAGATACATATTGAACTTGTGCACCAAGCAGGTCTACCCAGATATTTGCCTATCTAGTGGTAAGGTGAGACTAGAATCATTAAGCAGTACTTTGAGGTCTCGCCTTCTTCAATTTTTTTATGTTTTCTCATTCTCGGAGCAACGCACTCTTCCTTGGTCAGGCTTCGCGCACCCCTCCAGTGAGATGAAGGAATGTTCGTCATACAACACTTTTAACATTAACTCCTATTAATGTAATTTTTTGTATGTAAAACTTTTGGTGTAGTTAGTAAATTTAAGGCATTGATGGGTTTTTATTATTTTAACATTATAGTGATGTTTTCAAAACTTGTTTCATGATTAAACGATTGAAGATTTGATGTTAACACTTATATGTTATAATAAGCTGACTACTGAACAAAACGAATCGATCTTAGAGTAAGATAATCAAAAATACATTTTGTGACTTATGTACATTCAATTCTTTTAAATATCTTTTAAGTCTGCTATAGCTGCCATTACTATTTTCTATTAATTGATCACAGATCATCTTGCAATCCTATTCATCTGTCCCACAGAAATAATAGCCTTTTTTTGTTTTGTAACTAATCTAGCGACTGGTGCAGCCAAAGCAGCAGGATTGTTGATCACAAATCTTAAATGAATATGCATTACTGGAACGAAACACTTCGTGTATGTACACAAATGATAAATTTTCATGTTCAAATATGTCTTTATTTACGAATATGCTACTCATGGTGTCTCAGCGATAAATCTTATATTTGTAACTTTTTCGATACAAGTAACGATAACAAAGAGTTGTAAACATTACTTTTTTTACTTTACCGAGTTTCATTAATTTAAAGAATTTTTTTTAAACCATTAGTTAACATATGGAAAAGAATGACGTTTTAGTAATTCAAGATAGGTTGGAATTAATTAGGGAAATTCGACTTTATGAAATCTTCATGTTGTAACGCTTCTTTAGCAAGTAGTTTCTTATGTTAAATGACGTCAGTTCAGATGAGGAGATGAAACCGTTTACAAATGGTTCGACTTTATTAAATCTTCATGTTGTAGCGCTTCTTTAGCAAGTAGTTTCTTATGTTAAATGACGTCAGTTCAGATGAGGAGATGAAACCGTTTACAAATGGTTCGACTTTATTAAATCTTCATGTTGTAGCGCTTCTTTAGCAAGTAGTTTTTATGTTAAATGACGTCAGTTCAGATGAGCAGATGAAACCGTTGACAAATGGTTCGACTTTATTAAATCTTCATGTTGTAACGCTTCTTTAGCAAGTAGTTTCTTATGTTAAATGACGTCAGTTCAGATGAGGAGATGAAACCGTTGACAAATGGTTCGACTTTATTAAATCTTCATGTTGTAGCGCTTCTTTAGCATGTAGTTTCTTATGCTAAATCACGTCAGTCCAGATGAGGAGATGAAACCGTCGACAAGTGGTGATGACGTTAATGTTTAGGAATGAATTACCAAATCAATTTTATTCTTGGACTGGCATCATTCCAGTTTAGCCTGAGGTGAAACAGCGTTCATTACCTGGTAGTTTACAAATGAAACATCGTTAAGCTGATGACAAGTTTCATATTTATGAACGCCCTCTAAAAACTTTTATAGCAAGAGCGATGTATGTTCAGTCCACATTAGGCATACCAGGAAATAAATTCTCTTGTTGTATAGACCCTCTTCATAAAATTGTTTGGCAGCATGCTGTAGCAACAGTAAAGCTAAACTTGGAAATTCAGTTATTCTGTTAATCATTATAATTTTTAAGTTTTTTAAAAAATTTTAATATTTTGTTAGATTTTTGACGCTCCCATATATTGAAAAGTAAATGTAAACGTAAGAGAAAAAAACAGATTGATCTGATTGTAGGATTTCATTGTTAGTCCTTCGCAAATGTGCGTCGAGCCTGAAACATTTACAACCTCATATATTTAACTATATATTTGATGTGTCTATTCTTATTTACGCGCCACAACAAACATATTTCAATATTAATGTTTTACTAACACGAAGCATTAAAATAAGGCGTTCTTTTTGAAATATTATAATACACACTTTCTAAATACCAAAATTATATATTTTAGTGAAACAGAAACGTGAGCCTTAGTTTATTCTTAAATGTACCACAATCATCAAACACAATTTTTATGCTATGAAGTAAAAACAGTCTTTGAGACAATATAATTGTTCTAATAATTCTTTTACGAAGAACCAGTTGGTAGCATTAATATTATCTATCCTAGAATACCTGATTTAATATAGTCTACTTGTGATGATTCAAAAACAAGACAAACATTAAATACATAAGTATAATAAATAAACTTAGTATTCCGAAAATTGTTTAATTTCGAAGTCTAAATTCAAGGTAGGTCTAGTTCGATCTACACTTTGATAAACGTGTGTTATTGGGATTTATTAGTTTCGGAGAATTCCACTCCTCATCAGTAACTCTGAACACAAGTTAACCAAAGAGAGATAAGCTGGACATATATCATGTGAAAAGTATCAAACAGTATGTTTGACATAAAAAAGTAGTTTACTTCAAAGGGGCCTGATTTTGCACTCTTAATATCTCATTGTCCAAGATTAACGACGAAGTGTGGAATATACAAAATCGATTTAAATCAATTATGTAGGGCCAATCCAAGTGTGGAATTATATAACTGTATTCGTATAAATATAACGTGTAAAATAAGAAGCATCTCCAGGAGAGAAATAACTAAGCTAAGTTTCATTCCTGTCTCTGATGAACCAGTAGATCTGTATTTTCCACTTAATCTTTTTCAAAGAAACTCCTCGAAACGGAGAGGATTAAAAGATCTTTTGATTTTGTTTATGAACTTTCTACAGTTAAACCACGATATATCAATATCGTGGTTTAACTGTAGAAACCACGATATATCAATATTTTTTGGTTTGAATAAAAAATGCTTTTGAAATGTTAAATTAATTCAGTTAATTTCGTTTTCAGGAAATAGACGTGGGTCGCTGCATTGGAGGATGTAGCCATCTAGAACAAGACCGATTTCATTGTGTGCTTAGGTGAGTTGAATTATTATATCTTCAACCTAAATTAAGAAATGGCAACTGGTGAAAATTAAAGATAATTAGTGGTTATTCAGTTCATGCATTGGTAACTTAAATACGTATGCAGTGTCATTACTTCACACTGCATGAAAACTGTTTCTATAGTGTCTATTTTGAGTGTTTTCTATCACTCTGGAGACAATATTTCATTCTAACGTCTTGAAAATAGCATGTTATCTTTATAGCAATTGTATTATTTACTAAGAAAAGTACATGTTATTTTAAGGAGTGTTTTTAGTGTATAGTTTGTTTTCTTAGTTGATAAAATAAAATAAGATAAAACCTCTATTTATCTCAGCTTTTAAATAATAACGTTATTATGTCAATTGCAGTTTTATTTTTAGCATATAAAAACATTTTAACACGTTAACGTAGTTTCAATAAACAATCAAATATTCTACTATTAAAGCAAAAATATTGCTCTTAGGTATATTGTCCTGAAGAATTGCAGCAATCGACCAATCTTATCTTTTACTGGGTTGTTATATTCGCATCTTTATTCTGGAAAATACCTCAGTGGCTTAGCAGTAAGCTTGATAACTTATAATGCTAACATTCGGGGCTCAATCACCGCACTGGGCACCGTACAGATATATCATTGTGTAGTTTTGAGTTCCCCAACAAACAATTAAACAAATTGTTTATAACTTGTTAATAGTACTCTTCCCCACGGTTTGCTCTGTACTGTCAGTAATCCGCTATGACCTTCATGCCCATCAAATGCTCTTTGGAAGTTTCCAGGTTTACGACGTTAAAATTCGGGTTTCGATACCCGTGGTGGGAAGAGCACAGACAATTTATTGTATATCTTTGTGCTTAATAAGAACCAAACTTGCGCTTCATTGGCTGAAAAGCAATGTTGTTCTAGGGTGAAGAGTCTAGATCCTAGAAAACGATGTTAACATAACGAAATTATAAGCTAGTTTTACGTTTTTACATAACAAAAGATTCAGGCATATATTGTTTTATAAAAACATTGAATAGTTTCTTACTAAGTGAACCTTCTAACAATAAAGGAGTTACTTTTTTTTTAAATCTGCCTGTATCACTGATTTTAGAACGCTTCTGGTTTATCGTGAAAAGAATAATAACCAAATTTTAGGAACCACTGCAAAAACAAAATGAACAGTTTTACCACTGAATTCTCATTTCTTTAAACACTTAATTCGAAAAAAAATATTCGGGATATTTAACAAGATTAGTTAAGTTCTTGTATTATGTATTTTGCATTTATAAGTGGATATTTCTTATACTCACGGCTATCATGATAACAGAATTTAGACCGGTTTACACACTATTTTTATTAACGTTTAACAAGGAATCGTTCTGGCAGGTTAATGACACGACATCATCACTATTTCTACCGAAATTGTAAAGAATGAATTACTGATTAGCTGCAGTTTCAGAAGAAATAATGTACTCTTCTTAATCTGTACATATAAAGTTTAAAAGGACGTGGTTACGTATACGTTTACCATATAATAGTACACGTTGCAAAAACACTAGAAGTCGGGCGGGAATTCACTGTTTTTATCCTTTAGTTTTTAGACTTAAGGTTATAAAATAGGTATGACGAACACTTTTAGGTCAACTTGGTGGTTTATAGTTTTTCAATTGCGTTCGCAGAAATAACTTGGTTTTGTTTCATTATATTAGTTAATTCAAATTAGAAACGATCGAAATATAAGAAAATATAGTGTCTTAAGTGTATGAGCCCGCCAGTGGCACAGCGGTATGTCTGCGGACTTATAACACTAGAAACCGGGTTTCGATACCCATGATAGGCAGACCACAGATAGCCCATTGTGTAGCTTTGTGCTCAACTACAAACAAAAGAAAAAGAAATAACTGTAGGGTATGAGAAAACAATGCCATTTTAAATGGCCTCTTTTTTCTTTTCTTTTTAAAGAACTTCCGTAGGCCTGGAAAACTCTGTTACGTATAATGAAATTCTTTTTTTTTTAGCCCATCCAGGTTAAGGTGCTGACTGGAAAAGAAATGTTAACCTTTCGAAAGTGCTCGGGATATAGGCTATTCTCGTTTCTTTGTATTAAATTGATTTCTTGAGCCTGCGTGTTTTTCTGACATCATCAACTAAAGTACTGGTTACACCTCGAAACTATAAATGAGGCTCACCTATGTTCATTTATAAGCCTCAGTTTATGACAATGACACTATTTGTTCGTCCAAATGTAAGTGATATTGATAATTTTAGTAAAATAGAGATCACACAAACATTTCAAGGATTCGTGGTTGCTTTTTTCTCCACTTAAAAATGTCTTCTGATTTTCAGTAGTATAACGTTTCGAAATTAAGAAAAAATCAATATCTATGGCTTGTTTGCAACTAAGCACAAACGTTATAAGTCCGCAGACATTCTACTGTGCCACTGGGGGGGGGGGGGTAGTTATCTATGGCAATGGAGTGGCAAGCTAATCAAACTCTTACTTCATTCATGCGAGTTTGATGAGACGTAATGTCAGAAATTAAACATTTTTACTTCCTCACTTTGTAGTCAAATAGAATAAAGAAATTTACTTGTGGGTGGTCAGTTTTGTTGCCGTGTTTACGTGCAGGTGGTTAGTTTTGTTTCTTTGTTTTAGATTTTTCACGTCAATTACAAAAAAGGGCTATCTGTGTATAGCCGTCCTCGTCCTTAATTATGAACTCCTTATACTAAACAGCACCCCCGCCAACTCTCGAGCCATTCTCGTGTGACTGAAAAGCAGGAATTGGTGTCACTTTTATAACACATCTACGACCTCAAAGTGCGGAGCGTCTTTTTACGGCAGTGGGTTGTGAACTACGTACCTTTGTATTGGCAGTTAGGGTACACTAACCATCCAGCATTCAGTATTTTGTTTTCCTAAATACAGTTACAATATCTATAAAGCTTGTAGTAAACTACAATATTGTGTCGACCATATTGCGTGATGTTTTGAGAAGGCTTCTTTTCAGAATCCTGTGAGATATAAGCACGTTTTCACTTTTACAGAAGTTTTCTTTTTAATTTTACATCAATAGGTAACCTCTTTGCTTTTATGAAAAATATTGTTTTCCATATTTTTTTCAAGAAACTGCTCAGTTTTTCCATTTAACGTCGTTTCCTTAATAAATTAGATAAGAACAAACTCATATAGTGCAATCGTCTTAAAATCGCATAAATAGCCTCTAAACTATCACTGCAGCATTTGAGACAACACATTTAAAAAATGTGAAGTTATAAGGAAGAATGTTTTAATTTCTTCCATCAATAAGATGCTTAGCCGAGAAATTTACACAATCAACCATCAGTGCTGTGCCCACTGCGAATATTGAAACCCGATTTTTAGCGTTATAAAATCTCAGACTTATCTCTGAGATAGCAGGAGATAGGGGTAGGGGTCGTTTTGAGTAACACAGCAGACTGCTTGGTTTGTTACGAATTTCGCGCAAAGCTACACGAGGACTATCTGTGGTAGCCGTCCCTAATTTAGCAGTGTAAGACTAGACGGAAAGCAGCTAGTCATCACCACCCACCGCCAACTCTTGGGCTACTCTTTTACCAACGAATAGTGGGATTGACCGTCACATTATAACTTCCCCACGGCTAAAAGAGCGAGCATCTTTGGTGTGACGGGGATTTAAACCCGCGACCCACAGATTACGAGTCGAGCGCCCTAACCATCTGGCCATGCCGGGCCGAGCAGATTGCACTAGTAGAAAGCATAGTGCCATTTCTCTTGGCATTATTTCTTACCGTTTCAGTGTTAAAAGATGTACCTGCAACTAAGTTACTCAAATAATATACCAATTAAAAAAAAAAAACAAGGACTTATGAATACTGTTCACCACATCTGGTTTAAAACATAAAAAAAGACCTTCCATAGCCAACTCTTCAATAAAATTTCCATTATTTTGATTTTCGAGTGTAATTTAATAATCATTAGATTTTACCCCTTTTACTGTACTGTGGTGTATTATGATTCAGACATTATCTAACCATAGCTTTTCTTACTTGTTTTACTTTGTTAATTTATTTTTACTGCACTTCATTATTTCGAAACCCGAATAGAAATAGCTAAGACATGTCTAAATACTATGTTAGTTTCTGTTTATTTACGAAGGTAAATATACTTGGTAATTGTAATTACACCTTTTTTTTCTGAATAGTACTTTACCTAACTTTTTAAGTTATTAACTATAAACGTCTATATAAGTCTCCTACGTTTGAACCTACATTTCTTGGTTCACAGTTAGCTCATATAATGGACACGCAAAATATGTTAAAACAGAATATTTTTAGAAGGACTTGTACATATTTTTTCGTATGTGCATAGTCTGCAGTTAATCTGAATAAAGCAGAAACAAATATTATCAAGCTAACTCTTAAAATACATAGGCTAGTATTCGTTTATAAAGTGAAAACGAATTTGATGATCACGAAAAACCTACATAACTAGTAATTCAAAAAGGTCATGAAATATTCAATAAACCATGAAATTACCGGAAAATTCTGCGCATTGATAGGTCTTCTATCTCAGTTTGTCAAATTCATATTTTTGAATGAGAAATACTAGAGTTAATCGCACTTTTTAAGGAAAATGTTCCCCAAATCCCATGTTGCCCTTGAAACTATTTCTATCTGATGGTGAGGATTAAGCCTAACACGACAATTTCCATTGTAACAAGCTTCTGCATAAAGATGGCAAGGCCAATGTTTGGCCACATAAAGTGTATGTAGACATTCCTCTAGTGGTGGACTAAGTTCATAGATGAGCAAACAAGTAATATCAGGTGTATTTGAGTAAAGAGTAGCATGAACATTAATTTCTTGCTTTACATTCGTAGGCCTCCAGGTATGATTGTAAGTATACCGTCTTAACGTCTTGTCCACATGCTCTACGGTTCAGGAATTTCATATAACGTAATTGGTACCAATACTTTCTCTTGGTAGTAGGTAAAGTTAACGCTTG